GGGGGGGGGGGGGAGTAGGAGAAAAAGAAGAAATTCTCCTTTTTCGACGCGAAAACCGTAACCGCCTATCGACCTGACACGTTACGAGTTAATTTTCTCGATGTTATCTTTAACGAATTTACCGTAAAATGACTTGACATCAATTTTAACGTGTCAATTTTTAACGATCGCGACAATCCGATGGGGGTGTGGCTGTAATGTTTTTTTTTTTTTGCGGTTCTTCCTCTTATAGCGACAGATTCAATTTTTTCCCATCAGATTCAGGAACACGTAAATAATTTCGATTAGCTTATGTATTTTTTTTTTTATTTTAACGCAACGCGAAAACAGGGGGTCGTTTAATGATTTCGAAAATTCGTAATTGTCGAAAATAAAATGTGCCTCTCTCTCCCCCCTTCCCCCTTCCCCCTCCTCCTCCTCCTCCTCCTCCTCCTCACAATCAGTAAACTTTGAATGGATTGGTATAACAAGAGCGTCCGTGCAATGTGTGTTACAGGGAGACTGGCATGGAGAAGGAGAACTCCGCGTCGGGCGTCGGCGGCGGAGGCGGAAGCGGAAGTGGTGGTGGTGGTGGAGGAGGAGGCGGTGGTGGTGGTGGCGGTGGGAGCGCAGGAAGCGAGGCTACGGCGACTGCTACGGCGGCCGCCACCTCCGCTTCCGAGAAACTTCAGGCAGACCAGGGTAATCCGTTGCTCGATCCGACCGCCCTCTTTGGCGGTAAGTCCTTTTGCTATTTTCTAGCCGTAACCGTATAGAGCCGAGCCGAGCTCGGTCAGTTACGTACACGCGTATATATAGATATATATTAACATGCGCACGAAATGTCTGCGAACAACGTTATTCCGATTGGTCTATAGGGCTATGCCATGACTAAGGTTGTTATATTGTATGCTTATATATATATATACGTATAGTATCCATATACTCTGACCTTCCGTTAGACCCCTTTGATCTTGCGAATTGTATTTTGAATGATCGGCGCGCGAATCGCATATTCTCGAATTTTCAATCTGCGTATAATCGTCTACGTAGATTACGGTTAATCCTCTATGTGTATTATCTGTACTGGTGGGAGGGGGGAAGGGTGGCGGAGAGAGAAACTAGTGTACGATTACGAGATTGAGAGTTGCCGATACACGCCACTATAGGAATTATCATGAAACAGGTATTTTTTGAATTTGTCACCAAAAAAAAAATCAGACCCGCCCGTGCGCGATAGGACGAGAATATTTTGCTTTTGATATTTGTTCCTTTATTATATTTTTTTTTGGGTCTCATCCTTCTTGTGGATCGAGAGCTTCACGAGATCGGTGTATTTTATAGACATTGGCGACGCACCAGGTATTCCCAGGAACGAAAGTATCGTCACTTCCGGAAAGTGCGTTAAGGGTACGGCAGGGGGGGTGTCTTGAAAAATGGCTTCTCGCGTAGCGTCGTCGTCCAAAATAAGGAAGGAGAGAGAGAGAGAGGGGGGGGG